TTTCTTAATTGAATCTAAATTCTTACGGTAAGATATATTTATATTATCAAGTCATTTATGAAGTAATTATCGGTAGATCTTTATAATAAACATTTAATAACCTGCTATAATAGGTTAAATCACACTATAGTCATTTTTCTTATAATAATCTACATTATTTTCTCATCTGATCGATAATACTTACATAGTATTACTATTTCTGTAAGTTCAATAAATTAAAAGGGTCAAATTGGGTCTTTGTAAGCAAGTAGGATATATAACTATTTTGGGAAGGGAGAGTAGTTGTTATCAAAGAGAGAAATATGTTACTGAAGCCTAATTTTGGGGTTGTTCATTGCTGTTTGGGTCGGTGAATAATGATCTCCCAACTAGAAAAGTGAAATCCAGCATGTAGTGTTTAATGCCAATCAATTTTGGTCATGTTTTTGTAGTAAATAATTTCTTATTTTCGTAGGCTCGTCCAGGGGCGAAATTAGAGTGTCGGGAGTGGGTTCGTCCGAACCCAGTAACTTTGGTTCGAATCTTGTATTTGTCTTAAATTTTTTTTTAAATATGTATAAATTATTAATTTAGAACTCAATAACTTAAAACGATTAGAATCCTGAACCCAAAAACTTGAAATATAGGCTACTCTGGCTTGTCAACCCATTCAGTATGCACTCACGTTACGTTAAATTAGTGGTTCTTTGAACCAAAAACAAGGAGAAAAAAAGAGTAGTGGTTCTCACTTTTTGCTATGTTAATATGTCATTATCAAAAGTATGATTACTTTTAACGAGTCATTAAATGCTTTTAAATGCTTTAGGACTCAACTAATACGGGCATTTATCGTGAAACATTTTTCCTGTTCAGGTCAGTCTTAACTACGTACAAGACCTTAATATGATTTAGACGTTGTCAAAAACTCAATAATGTTTTTTGTTGTGTATCAACTTGATTAATTGTTCAGCGACAAAAATATAGTGGGGACGATCACCTTAATATATTGTTGAAAAAACGTTATGATTTTCGTTTACCCTTATGTGGACATGAAGCTTTAGGTCCTTGTCTCCTTGATCAATTGACTAAAGATAACTTAATAATATTTGGGACATGTTATGTATGTCTCCTTTATTTTGTAGGTCTTGAAATAAAAGATTTGGTGGGGAATTGCACAAATATTTAAAGACAGCAAAATATTGAGTGTGCAATGATAAATACCCCGAAATTAAGTCCAACTACCAAACCAATATTGTCATTAATTGTATTCAAGGACATAAAAATTAACTTCCCTCTTTATGATGGTTCTTAAATTATTCCGTACTGTCTATAGCATGAATTGTTTGTGAATCCAAATATGAAACAAAGAAGTAGGTGGATGAGCAGTTATTAATGTCTTCCCCTATTGCTAGGTTGCAGGTAATTATCGGTAAATGTACACGATTTTACTTTTATACACTTACATTGTAACAATAAAATTAAACTATCGTGTCATCCAAATATTAGTCGCTTTGGCAAATGAAATTTGTATCAAAATATTTGTCGTTTTAGAAAAACAAAAAGTCATTTATTAGCCCAGTGTTTATTAGGTGAGATGTTTAAGGTGTGATATAAGGTACTCCCTCTTGTCCATATTAAGTAACCTTTTTAAATTGGTCCAAAATAAGAATTAATTTTATTTTTTCAAAATTTGCCCTTATTTACATATCCCATTGTGTCAAGGTAACAATATGCAAATTTTAATTAAAGGTAATTTAGTGAATACATCTTTTTTTCTTTAGGAGTTCATATTTTCTTAAGGAATGTGCCAAAGACCAAAAAATCACTTTTTATGGAGCGGAGCCTGAAGTAGTAGCTTGGATCGGCATGTTAATGCCTACTTTTGACAAGAATTTAATTTGAATTTCTATTTGTGTGTTTGTGGGGTGGCTAGAGCACTAAGTACATACTCAAAATTGCTTTGTTTGAGTTATAAAAATTGATTGCAGGATCATACATGTGTTAATGCTATGATCTTTTGAACATGCAGTTACATAAAGAAAGCAGGTTGGGATTCTAAATTGGTGAATGAATCATATCCTTGGATTGAGAAACAAATTGTTCATAGGCCAAACTTGGCTCCATGGCAAAGAGCAGTAAGGGATAGTCTTCTTGAAATTGGTATCTCACCATTCAATGGATTCACTTATGATCACATCTATGGAACTAAGGTTGGTGGAACCATATTCGACCGGTTTGGACGTCGTCATACTGCAGCTGAACTACTTGCCTCAGCTAATCCAAAGAAGTTGGATGTTTTGGTGCATGCCACAGTTCAAAAGATTGATTTTGATACATCAGGTACTTAATGCAAAACAACCAACTAATTGCAGTACATTACACATGTTTGCTTTATTGTAGATATAACCGGATTGAAATAATTATATAGGAAAGAAGCCAAGGGCAGTGGGAGTCATTTTCAAAGACGAAAATGGGAACCAACACAAAGCATTTCTTTCAAAGAGGAAAGGAAGTGAAATTATAGTGTCATCTGGTGCAATTGGTAGCCCTCATATTTTGATGCTTAGTGGAATTGGACCAAAGGCCGAGTTGGAAAAGCTGAATATCCCGGTGGTGCTTGACAATAAGTTCGTTGGCCAAGGCATGTCGGATAACCCCTTAAACACGATCTTCGTTCCCACAAATAGGCATGTTGAGCAGTCATTGATTCAGACTGTAGGAATTACTAAGGCGGGGGTCTATATCGAAGCTAGTAGTGGATTTGGACAGTCCGGAGATAGCATCCGTTGCAACCATGGAGTCGCTTCAGCTGAGGTTAGTAGCAATATAATGTTTCAATTTATATCAATTACAAGCTGTTTGGACTTTATTACTGATAGCTTTAAGTGTTTTGTTTTGTTAAGCAATGTTTGGATAGACTGTACTGACGTTATTGGTTTGGCTATATTGTATTGTATGTCCTTTAATCTTGGTTCTCCTAACATTGTGTCCACATTTTGGAATAATCAACCAGATTGGACAACTGTCCACCATTCCTCCAAAGCAGAGAACATTTGAAGCAATTGAAGCATACCGAAGAAGCAAGAAAAACATTCCACACGAGTTGTTTAGAGGAGGTTTCATCTTAGAAAAAATAGCAACACCTTTGTCAAGAGGGAACATTAGCCTTGTCACTACAAATGCCGATGACAACCCTTCAATCACCTTCAACTACTTCAGCCATCCACGTGATCTAAAGCGATGTGTAGATGGAATACGCATTGTGGAGAAGATCGCGAAATCCAAACACTTCACCAACTACACACAATGTGACAAAGAGACACTAGATAAGCTCCTTAACATGAGTGTCCAAGCTAATGTTAATCTTATACCAAAACACACTAACAACACACAGTCTTTAGAACAGTTCTGCAAAGATACTGTGATCACAATATGGCATTACCATGGCGGATGTCATGTTGGCAAGGTGATCGCACCGGATTACAGGGTTCTTGGTGTCCATAGGCTCCGAGTTATTGATGGTTCGACGTTTGAAGAGTCGCCAGGCACAAATCCTCAAGCCACTGTTATGATGATGGGCAGGTAAGACCATAATAATACAAATTCCATGATAGAATTACTACCTCTGATTCATATTATCTGTCTTTTAAGGTTTCTGCACACCCTTAAAGAAAAACATTTAATAGCCTTAGTCATAGGAGATTTGTCTAAACTATACTTTATCTCTCCTTAAACATCTCGACTAATTAACACTCCACTAATTGAAACATGAAAAGTAGATTTGAAAAAAAAATCTAATAAATGTCTTGTTTTTTCTATAAAAAAGAAAAAGAAAAAAGGCAGTCCGTTGCACTAAGCTCCCGCTATGCGCGAGTTTCGAAGAAGGGCCGGAACACAAGGGTCTATCGTACGCAACATTACCCTGCATTTCTGTAAGAGGCTGTTTCCAACTCGTGAACTCCTGGTCAAATGTTTTAAAACAAATTCAGTTTGCTAAAACGACTAATATTTGGGACCGGAAAAAGTACTACTACATCGAATAGCTAACCGTTTTGTGATTCGTGCCGCGTTGATGCAGGTACATGGGAGTGAAGATTCTAAGAGAGAGATTAGGAAGAACAGCTGGTTTGTAAAGAGACTTGTATAACTTTGAAGTAGAAGAGGATTAAACCCATTCTTTTAGTTTGTTTTGTTGAGAGTTGGTAATTAAGTGGAGAAGAGTTGTGTCTTCTTTTTTAACCAAAGACTGTAGGTTTCATTTTACCATTCTAATTCTTAGCAAGCAGCTGTGTGTAGTCTGTCCAGATTGGCTTGCCATTGAAAAAGGTGTTTTTGTGTGTGTATGTCTGAGGTTGGAATTTGAACTTCTATGCTGTTTGGATTCACATCGTACGTAATATGTATGAAGTGCATGCTTATTATATATATAACCTCGAATCTTGATTCTTATATCTCTTATTCCACTTCTTTTTTACATTATAACTTGTTTCATGCATTTGGCTCGACTTGCCAAGTGAGTTTTACCAAAGTTTGATATCTAAAATGAACATGAAACAACTCAAACAATTGTCAAACTTTGAAGATTGTACCACAATCTTTTAAAGAAAGTTGGAGTCTCTTTTTTGATTTCTCGTTTGTGAAAGCAGAGGAATCTAGATTTATGTACATACAAATGGTCCCTCATTTTATTATTAGTAATGGTCAATTTGATTAATTTCCAAAGTGAAGGACTGGTAACATAGGATTTAGAAACAGAAAACAGACGGTAGAATGAATAGAATACTTTTTGAAAATAACTTGAGATATTTAGAAACTACATAAAAAGCATGCTACTTTCCATATAGAAATAAGAACTAATCAAAAAGTTCTAGTCAAGTATTAAGTTTTGCAACTTAAAAGTAGAGAGGGAGTACATAAAATGAACATCTTAAATCATCTAGCACTGAAAATTCTACAATATTCCGGCCTAGGGAACTACCTCTACAAGAATAAATTTCCTTTGGTCCAATTTCAAGTCAAAAGAATCTAATATTTCTCGATAATCATAACATGAAAACGGTTCACTTGATTACATAAGGTTTACACATAGAAGTAAAAATCCTGCATTTCAATATCAAGGTGTCCTAAATATAGTTAAATGGCAAGATTTTCTTGAAGAAAACAAGAAAACAAAAATTGATGGTTCAATTCTTCTGATACTATCTACATACAAAAATAAGATAACTCCAAGAACCAGAACAAAGAACAGCAATTTTATGTTCTGATATAATGTAAGATTTTATGGTTGCTGCTAAAAGACTTCATCTTGGCTTATGAATAACTATGTTCACTCATGCTTCCACTAGAAAGAACTCTCAACCGTTTCCAGAAATTATTTTTTCTTCCCATTTTCAAAGGAGCGGAATTGAATTGCCTCCTAAAAGACTCAGATTCCAGTGTTTCATATCTAGCTGATGTACTCTTTAAATCCGAAGCTGATGACGCCGTTTTGACATTTAAGGGAGAATCATAACCTGGAACTGATTTATGGACTAGTGAAGTTTCTGTAACGGAAAGGTTGTCGTGGCTGCAACTTCGTGACATTGGCTCTCGTGTCTCGTCAAACTCATCACATACTAATTTCAAGGCTTGAACCACTTCTCCCATGAAAGGACGATGCGATACTTCTGGCTGTACACACATTGATGCTATTGCTGCAACTTTGCTGATACTATCAAATGGGATATTATCAGACTCTATTGCTGGATCTATTATTGTTTCTAAACCTTCCTTAGTTGTCAGGAGCGGACGAGCCCACGCAACAAGATTTTCTTGACCTGACGGCTGTGATAAATCTACAGGCTTTCGTCCACTTAAGAGCTCAAGGAGAACTACACCGTAGCTATAAACATCACTTTTCACCAGGAGATGGCCAGTCATTGCATATTCTGGAGCTAGGTAACTGCAACAAATAATTAGCAATTAGGTAAAAGCCAAAGATTACACATTGGGAATCATTGCCATGTTGTTTATTAGCAGAGGCAGATAAATATAAGTTCAATGGATTTAACTGAGCTCGGTATACTTTACACGGAGTATAAATAAATATGTGGAAAAAAATACTAAAATTTTGACAGGTGGATTGCATCAAGTTTAAATATTGAATCCGCTTATGCTTATTAGCGTTGCCAGCACTTGGAAAAGAACAATAAGACAGAAAATTTCTTTCGACAAAAGAATGCATACCCGAAGGTGCCCATCACATGTGTGGAGATATGTCGGTTTCCCTCATCCAGTGCTGTTCTAGCCAAGCCAAAGTCTGAAACTTTTGGTGTAAAATCATGTTCTAGCAAAATATTACTAGACTTGAAGTCCCTGTGTATTACACGAGGGCTCGAGTCCTCATGCAGATAAGCCAATCCTCGAGCTGCACCTAACGCAATCTTCATTCTTGCATACCAATCAAGAGGAGAAGCCTCTTTATCAATTCCTGAAAGAGAGAAAGAGAAACCAAAAGCACTTATTCAACCTTAATTAACCATGAAAATAAATTTTGGTGTATTCATTTTTCAGATATGTACCAACCATGTAAATGGGATTCGACACTCCCATTAGGAACAAGTTCATAGACCAGGCAGCGACAATTTTCCTCTGTGCAAATACCTATCAATTTGACCAAGTTTCTGTGATGCAGCCTACTAAGCATCTCAACTTCTGCCAAAAACTCACGGCCTCCCTGCCGATCATCTCTTTTTAAAACCTTAACTGCTACTTCCCTTCCATCATCAAGGATTCCACTATACACGAGTCCAAAACCGCCTTCTCCAAGGACCCTTGAAGTGTTGAAGTTATTAGTAGCTCTCTCTATATCGTTTGTACTAAAAACTTTTGCAGTTCCTGTGTAAGCTAAAATACTAGAACTGAAGGACAGCGATTTTGAGGTAGGCCTACTTAGCAAAAGCGTAGATCCACCACCACCTGTTCAGTACATATTCATCAGTTCTAAGACGCATTATGTAATGGCTTAAAGAAAAATAGGCCAAATGGGCAGTTTATCTGCAATTTCTATCAGTAAAGTTTACCTGATGTTTTCCCCTGAGAGGAGATTAAAATATGTAGAGGTTGCTCAGGTGATTTAGCACAACATCCGCACTTTAATAACAAAAGCCAAATAAATCCCATGCACACAACAAAGGCTGTGAAGGATGAAAGAACAATCACGATGATCATATTTCTAGCTATTCCATTCTTTCTCATTCTTGACACGTCTACACCCAGAGGTTTGATGGTCCTTCCATTATTTTCATTGCCGGGATAGACTGGAAGATCATCAATAGTAGCACTGCTTGAATGATGTGAAGGTGGAGAAGGTGGTAGCCCTGCATAATAATCAACTTTATAAGAACTTAAGCAATTGAATGTGTGTAACACAAATAAAGTGCACGGAAACGGTTATCAGAGAACGGAGAACAAGCAAAATCAGCATAATAGAATTAATTGAGCCAGTGAACATTGACAAATTGAAATCAGAACAAATTGTGATTTTTTTTGGGCGGAAGTAGTAATCTAGCTGCAAATATTTATGGGAAGCTATGCGCAGAAAAGACCGGAATTTTGACTAATCTGAGAGCATTAACTATGATAGCATATACCCCTTAGAAATTAGTCCATTGCTGTCCTGTAAGGACATGTTTAGTCAAACCATTACAGAAATGGGGAACAATTGTTGAAAAGGAATAGATCTGAGGTGACCTACAGACAAAATATTAGCAAGCTCTTTTTCCAATCTACCATATTAGCACCTCTTCATATGCACAAGAAAACAGTTGAATTGTTCGTTTATGATTCCACCTAGCACGACTGTTACCCGTGTCAAAACTCCATATGGCCTCTATAAGCTAATATCTTGCTTTCTATTAAGCCTAAATTGTAAATTTACTCTCTGTCTAACAAATTAAGATTGTTAGACCAATATGTACATGTGTGCACCAAAAAGGAAAGAAAAAAAAGGTTATAGCGCTTGAATAACATCATGGTGGAATCTACAAATATCAGATTTAGATATTACTACTAGTACCAATTGACAACCTGGATAGCGGACATAAACCATCTCATATGCACCAAAGAGCGAAGTCTCTATGAATACCGCCCTCTTCCAGAACTTCTGATAGATTGTAAAAGCAGTGGTAGCATCAAATTTTCCATCGGCAGGAACTAAGTTGATAAGTACAATCGTTTTCTCAAGCTGCTGATTGACTGCATTCGCTCCCATAATGCGCACTTGACTCCTGTTAAGCGAAACACCGGAAGCAATTTCCTTGGCAAGCTCGGATACCAAAGGAAAAAAGGTATATAGTGTGACACTGAGGTGCATTTCTACTTGAATGGGCCATACACAGCCGCAGGGTGATCCAGGAGGTGTGTACGTCAACGGCTCAGTGCATGTCAAAGAACTACAGTCTATAACAAGATCAAACATTTTATTTAAGAATTTTTTGGTCTTGGCTGAAGTTTCAATTCCAATGAAAATTAGTTAGAAGAGTAACTTGTTTAAATAGAGAGCTAAAAATCACTTGTCTATATACCATGATTGGGAGGCGGTGGCGGCAGTGTCATAACAGGCAAAGGAGGTGGACTCCGTTTCTTTCCTTTTAAAGATGAACTCGTTGGTGATATTGTAGGTGTAGCCGTGGGAACTGGCATCAATAAGAAGGATCAGATCATCAGCATTACCTTTTATTACAAATAAGAAAGGAGACGATGCATTAAGATTACGGTTTATACACATACTTCCCAAGTGATTAGGTTGCATTATCGGTGATGGAACAGGTGCCCAACTTACTGATGAAGGAACAGGAGACTTATATGGAGAGATTGAAGGCCCTGTGTGTTTTAAGAAGAGAAAACAATAGTTACTTGAGTAGGCAAAAAAAAAAAGTAGTCTAGTCTTTCGTCCATCCAAATATGTACATTACTATTTCTATTTCAATCTAAAAGAGGAAGGCGATTCATTTTTAAGAATAACTCACCTGGCCCGCTTGAAGCAGGCGGATGAAGGTGATCGTATGGGTCAGGTGTAAAGCCACTGTATTTGTGCTTCCTATGATGGTGCCTAAAAGAGGAGATTAAAGGCGCAGATGCAGATGTATGTACTTGCTTTCGACCAGAATTCCTAAAATGAGGCGAAGTTGAAGGTGTGTCCGCATAATTAAGTGGTTCCAAGATCTTGTGCTGATAAGTAGCTGCAGAAGAAAATCTGGACTATCAGGTTTTGCTAACTTCAAAAAATAAATAGTTCTAGCTATTTCAAAAATACCTTTAGTTGGATGATGATATGGTGGTGGAGCACTGTGAAATGCCTTGAAATGGGGTGCAGCAGCAAATGTGTCATGTCTCTTCCGGATAGAAGTTGGAAGGGGAGACAAATCTGCAATGTGTATGCAATGCAAGAACATATGAAAAGATTTGATAATCAGGAAATATCTATTACATTTTACATAATTCCTGACTTCAGCTAAATTGGTTGACAAATGTAATAGCAGCGAATTTGACAAATGAAGCACCAGATGGCAAGCGTATTAACATTAAACAAGGGTTGTAAAGTTCACGAATCTAACACATATAAAGGGAAAGAATTTCACCTTGTCGTCGGAGGGATAGACGCAATCCTCTATTCCTGTGAAAACTACGATCAAGTCTTCCATCCTTGAATTTGAAAATTGCAGAAGCTGCATTTTTCAGTGAAAGCAGGTCGAATCCTGCAATGGTGCTAAAGCTATTTAGTAGCTCTAGGATACTCCTACAATTCAATTTACTAGCCCAGTATTTAAAAACATTTCAATGAAAAGAGTGCAAAAACCATAACTAACCCTCAATTCGAGCAAGTTGAGGTCGACTATATAAATCCTCACTAACCATATCACTCCATTTAAGCTCATCTCATACTCATATTATACAACAAAAAAGTACAAAAGTAGATCATAACTTCATATTCCTACTCCCTAGAGTCATCCCATTGCATTTGCTTCAACTTCTTTTTCTTTTTCCTTTGAAATGAAAGATAAAAACTACTTGACTAAGCCCTTGCTCAAACAACTAAGAATTGTATTATTATTTATTAACACACAATTAACCAAATTCAATCAGAAACATAAGCATAAAATAACAACAACAGACCCAGTATATTTCCAACATCAGTTGGGGTCTTGGTAATGTATACGCATATGCAGATCTTACCCTTACCTAGTGAAGGTAGAAAGTGTGTTTCCAATAGACCGTCGGCTCGGAAATCAGAAACATTAGCATAATTGAAACAAATGCACGGTCAAGCAAGTTCCAATTTAAATACAGACTTAGTGATCACAGTATGGTACCTGCAGATAATTGAACTGAAAAACCACATAGAATCACCAAGAATATCAGCAACGTGAAACACTGCAGCAACCCCATCTCTCTCCTCAAGAATAAACCCAAATGATCAAATTACAAGACCATCATTGGCCTATAAAGCAGGAATTTTCAAGCAAGAAAAAGAATTTGAATGAACACAGTCCTGTTTTGTACAATGTGGTTAGAAAAAACATGAGTATATGTTAAAGGGACAACAAAAATACTAGTGTATGTAGCTTATGCAATGAGACCCAAAAATGGTACAGCGGTCAAAGTAATGAAGAGGAAGGTAGTGACGGTGAAAATATAAAAACACTGTCTAAGTTAGGTGGGAGGTAGTAATAAAACCACAAATCTCTCAGATTTTTTATATTCTTGGAATGAAATAATCATAAAAAATTGGTTACTAAAGATAGTTAAAACTGATCAAAGCAAAAAAGAGAGTACTAGTACAAAACTAGAGGTTTGATCCAGTGAGACTGAGAAAGAGCTAAAGCTAAAGTAAGAGAGAAACTGAAAGAAAAAAGCTTCTTTCTTTTTCTTGTGGGGATGAAAGAAACAGGGGACAGAAAAAGAATTATTCTTTTTCCAAATTACTCAAGGATTCATTTGACATGATTTGTTTAGTTGAAATTTAGTAATAACATTGAAATCTTTCAGTTGAAATTGTTGACATATTGTTTAAGTGGAACTCCCACCCCCTACTCCCCTTCCACCGGCTTTATTTATCGGAAGATAAATTATGTTGGAATTAGTTATTTTTGTATTATTTTTTTTATTGATTATATTATATATTTTATTAATTTTGAGATTATCATTATTACTATTTTATCCTGAGATTACTATTTCATCCTCTAACATGTATAAGTTATTCCGTTATTATTTTTAATCCTGAGATAATTTATTTTAGAATTAGTAATCAAACAGGGATAAAGCATTACTAAATTTTTATTCTAATATTATTTTGATTTATCCATCGTACCAAAACCCCTGACAATGTAAAATTAGAATAATAATTTACTATAATTAATTAAATTAGAATAGAAATTGTTCTTATTGTCTTAAACTCTATTTTTAATCCTGTTGCAGTCCCCATCATTATGAAGTAAATAGTCCACTTGCAATTGCATTTTCAACTCACTAACTTGAAGAGATTAGTCTTTGATTTGTAAAGATCTCATTTACTTGCACTTTAATTAGTGCAACTAAGTACTGAAGATGGTAAAAGGTAGTGTCTTTTCCACCTTTTACTTTTAAAATTAAAAGCAGGCGAATAACATAATGCCCCACCTTCGTAACGTGATTGGTCTTTGATCAATTATTTATCATATCTATTCTGAATTACCATTAAGATAAGTTGTACACAATTACATTATAATAGTATCTGCTTGGGTTCCACTCATTTCCCATTTATAGAAGTAACTCCTCTTCAACTTTTTCCTTAACATAACATCATTAATAAATCACTCAAAAGTTTGGAACAACTTTTTCAATGAGTTCTCTTGTGTTGTCGGGCTAATTTGTGTGCATCTCTACTATTTTATTCTTTATCTTTTACGTTTAATTAGGGAGGAATCTAATATTTAAATTTCAAAGATTCAACCTTTAAAGTTTTTACAATTAATAGGGCCAATTTTAATATTTCTTGATATTTTAGTAATTATTTTACATGTATATTTATACCTCATTTATTTATATGGTGCATCCATCTTTGCCTCTAATTAGTATAAATACCAAATAACTTTATCCAAAAAAATGTAGGCTGATGAAAAGAATCACTTAGCCTTTTGTCTTACCCAAGTTTGAACTTTGGTATCCTATTAATATTTACGTCACTCTAATGATCGTTGAGCTATGACCATTGAGTGCAAAAGAAACTCCACCGCTCGTGTATGAATATTGAAATATTATTTAGAATTGGAGAGGTTATTATGGGTAGAACCTAAATGTCTTGTCTGGTGGGTGGTTTAATGTTTGGAAGAGGGGGAAAAGATATGGTAGGTCTAATGAAATCATGATGGGGTTGTTACTATTCTTGATAGGAGACACCAGGGGCGTATCGGGGTTCTATGGGCACGTGAACTCATGCTCCACGTCCTAAATTATGTATAATAATGTTATATTTTTTTTTAAAATATTTAAATATATGTGTGTGCACCCATACTAAAAGTATTATATGATGGGATGGTTATTGAGTGTAACTTTCTAGGTGAGGTTGTGAGTTCAAATCTTATGTCAATCTTTTTGTTTTTTCCTTTTTATCTAAAAGTAGACGCCCACGGGAGATGGGCGTGTCTGGTGTTACTTTTTATGTATTAATTAAATACTTTTTCTTTTTATTTCTTTTTTTGTTTGGTTTATTCTTTCAAAATTTTCACACATTGAAATTCGTATTCTTCTTTTGTCGCTGTAAAATCTTATATGATTAAACAAAATGTGTATATTAAAACTAGTAGTAGTGTATGATATAGTATATAGTCAATGTATTCAATTGATCTCAATATTTTCAACATGGAAAATAGATATAGATGTAAAAAAAAACTATTTAAAAAATATTTGAACTTATAATTCCAAAAGTACAATGGGTACGCAATCGTAAGAACTAAAGGTTGAACCTGTAATATTTATATTCTGGATCCACCTCTTCTTAATAGTGCACCCATCCTGTCAAAATTCCGGATCCGCCTCTGGGAGACACGGTATAGAGGTGGGAATATGGATAATGTAGTGTCGTGTCTGTCGAGCGGATTCAGAATTTTGAGTAAAAATTATTAAATTTTCGTGAACCCATATAGTACATGTTAGCTCCGCTTCTGTGAGGGGCGGATATAACATACTACCTACGGGTTTAATCGAACTCATAATTTTTGATGTGACGCATAAATTTATGTGTAAAAATTTACTAACATTATAACAACAAATAAATATGAACCTATAACTTTAAAAATATAATTGATTCAATAATAAAAGTTTTAAAAGTTAAAACCATACAATTCAAATGGTGGTGAATCCATATATTAGGGATGAGGTGTTGGACAGCATCTTCACCACATGCATTATGGTGAAAATGATGGTACTTTGACTGACGTCAAACACCATTGCTTTTCTTCGACATTCTGTCGGTGCCTCTCGGCGACTTCGCAATAACTCCATTTAGTATTATAAAACTCATTTTTTTTAAAATAGAAATTTTTTCTATAGTATATTGAGGTCAAAAAAAACTAGAGGTAAAATAATAAGAATTGAACTCATACATTTGTACGGAATACTTTCACTAGTAGTATTAGATTGTGAATTTTGATTGTCAGAATAAACTCACTTTGGCTACATTTTTCAAATATTTTTAAACGCATTGTTTACCCGTAAAATCGTATAATTTTATTTATACGTGATTTATACACAAGTGAATCGATTTGATCCTAAAATGATAAATAAATTAGACAAAAATGCAAGACTTAGCCTTGAAATTGAGAGAAAACAACCGAAATCTTGATTTCGGGAGCAGAGCTTCCGGAGACAGTAATAACAATATGAATAAGTAAGAAAGTAAAATATTATTGAGCTTTGGATAGAATATAATGTATGCTTGTCAGAAAATTTATCTCCTTTACAATGATGGTAAAACTCACTATTTATAGTTGCACCTAGGGAATAAGGTCCTAGGATAAAGCCCCTATTTAATGACAATTATGAGGGCCATTGAAGAATGTGTAACGGTAGGCAGTGAATGTCATATTCTCTGTAACGGACCATATACTTAATGCTGTAGAATATTCTTCATTAAGTGCTACCGGGTGGCAGGCATTTATTTCGCCTTTATGAATATCATTTTCTCCAATAACAAACGAGATTGTTGCCTTCAGACCCGATTATCTTATGTCTTCGGCTCCACGTGTCGCTTTCTCATGCGATCATTTAGTATGAACATATTTTACCCTATACAGATAGTCCCCCTACTTTCCGGTGGCATAACCTTGTATCACCGGGAAGTTGGTAGAGATACCCTTTTTGGCGGAAAATTCTCTAACCCCCTCTGAAAAGTTTCTGACGGTTGATTAGACGCACGCCTCTCTATATTTAATGTCCCGAACACGCGTCATCCCACGATTCAGCACCACTTTTGCCGGTTATCAAGGTAATTTTCTGTATCCGCATCAAACTTCTTCATTTACACTTCATAATTTTTCAAACTATCTCAAACTCTCTTTACTCAACTCGTACTTGTCTTAAACTTTCGCTAACCTTCTTGTTCAAAGAGAACCCTTTTCTCCATTCTGATAATAATGGCTTCTTCTTCCAGAAACCCTAGTTCCTTAAAGAACAAAGGTAAAGCTGATTATGCTGCTCCTCTTACGGTGAGCACCATTATTCCAAGAAATCTTGTCACACCTAAGGACTTCAAAGAGAAATATCCTTCCGCTAACCCTCGCACATGGGCTATCGGTGTGTATCCTTTTTCTATCCGTCCTTCCAGCATTCCTGCTGTGAAGGAAGATTGCCATTGCCATGATTTAAACATCGTCGCCCCTGACCTGACGGAGCGGATAGCCTTACCCAAAAAGGGTTTGAGGTATTTTTATATGTATCCCTTCACTTTGGGGCCATTTTCTTTAAGTGGGGAGCTTGACTCTGTTATCGTGGAGTTCTGCATTCGTTACCAGGTATGCCTGGCATAAGTAAGTCCTTCTGTGTGGAGGACAATTGCTTGTCTTTGGCGTCTATGCCAGGAGACGGGAGAGGAGCTAACCTTGGCTTGATTAATGAACCTTTATTACCCCAAGATTTTCCGCGGGGGAATGATAAATTTCAGCAAACGTGGCCACCATGCTCTGCTAACTAGCATGGATGATGACAATGACTATGGGTGGATGGAACGGTTCATTGTAGTTGCCACCAAGGACATCATTCCGGCCACGACTCCATCCTTTCCGGACTCATAAGTTCACCGTTTGTCTTTTATTCTAGTTAAAAATCATCCCATGTTGTTACTGATCCATCTTCTTTCACTTGTTTCAGCAACTCAGTGGACTCCACCGAGGGTCAAATGCTTGGACCAATGGGTCCCAAAGATTTTGGATGTCACTACGCCCGAGACCCGCACGTGTAAGGAACTGGCCCTTTAATATGGGTGGAAGGCCAAAAATCATGGTAGGACGAACTCATCTTGTTTTTTACCTTTCGTATAAGAAAACTGATTAACTTTTTTCTTTTGTTTGATTTAGGTCTACCCCAAGGCTCAGTTGTCATCCCCGAGGAGGACGTTTTGGCTGATCATTTATATGCGATGAGGTTATTGCAGGAGGCCTTTGCCCGAACGGGTGTAGTTGGTACTGTATCTGGTGCAAGTGCTAATTCTCGGAGTCCCCGGCCGGAGAACAAGCAACAAAAAAGACGATGCTCATCCGCGGCCGGGGGGAAAAACAAAAAAGCCAAGAGTGCAGCGCCCGAGCCATCCTTAGATGTTGTGGAGATGAGCGTCGCGCCCGAGCCGGCCATTGACACTATGGTGATCGGCGATGATGGAGAGCTTAGTGATGAAGGGCTTCTCTACATAGAAGACGGCTACCTTCATCAGCTCAATAGAATGGTCAATCTGTTGAGCTAGTTACGCCAACCGAGGACGACACCTCGACACTCTAGGGGGAGTATAATGTAGTGGAAGATGTCAATTCTCACTTTCGAGTCCCAG